CTCTCTCTCTCTCTCTCTCTCTCTCTCTCTCTCTCTCTCTCTCTCTCTCTTTCGATGAGGTTTCTCTGTATCGCTCTGGCTATCCTGGAACTACCACTGTAGACCAGGCTGGTCTCAAACTTACAGACACTGCCTCTGCCTCTGAATGCTGGGATCAAAGGTGTGTGTCACCACCACCCGGCCTAGTGTGTCTTGTTCTTCATAGCCCACCTTGTTTGAGGAAAATTCTTCCTGGTTTACCATTGCGAAAGCCTGACTTCTTCGTGGCTCACAAGTTTCCAGGGATATGTCTGTCTGTGCCTGTCCTCCCCTTACAGGAGTGCTGGGGTTACAGAGCCACTGGGCCCAGCTGTCACATGGGTTCTGGGGACTCAAACTCAGGCTCTCCAACTGCACAGCAAAGTTTACTACTGAGCCATCTCACCAGCTCTGGAGCTAGCTAGCTCTTTGGAAAGTTTGAAAAATATAGATTGTACCCTCTTTTCTCCGGGACTTCACCAATTAGTTTTCTTTTCTTTTTTCTTTCCTTTTTTTTTCTCCCTATAGTTCATGCCTCTTACAACTTGATATGCAACTACTACACCCAGCTTATGTGGTCCTGGGGCTTGGACCAAGGTCTTCATGTATGTTGATAAGCATTCTGCCAACCAAGCTACATATCAAGGCCTTCAAGTGTTCCTTTTCAATAGAAACTATAGGAGGAAAAAAAGGATTTGTAAGATAATAAAATTAGATAGTTTCAAAACTAATTATGCCCTTATATTTTACTTATTACTATTTTTACTGTGTGTATGTGTGTGCGTGCACACAAACACGTATGTACACATATACTTTTGTGTTTGTGGAGGTCAGAGAACAACTTTGTAGAGTTGTTTTTCTTCTTCCATCTTTATTTGGATTCCATGGATTAAACTCAGTTGTCAGGCTTGCGTGGCTGGGTGGCAAGTCTCCTCACCACTGAGCCATGTCTTCAGCTCTGTTTCTTATTTATTTATTTTTTGAGACAGGATTTTTTGAGCCCAAACTAACCTAACAATTCTTAAACCAGTTCCCTCTCCTCCTAGCTATACACACCACTCTACTTAGTCTTATACGTTTTCATTTGTTTTTATAATTTTTAATTGTGTAGGTGTGTGTGTGTGTGTGTGTGTGTGCATGTGCAAGCGAGTGCAAGTGAGTGTAGTTATTCTGGGAAGCCGGAGGGCTCATATCTCCTAGAGCTGGGGTCCCTGGCAGTTGTGGGGTGCTGGGAACTGAACTCAGGCCCTCTAGAAGAGAGCAAATGTTCCTAACCACTGAGCCATATCTCCAGTCACTTTGAAACAAAGTCTTTTTATGTAAATCAGACTTACCTCAAGCTAGCTATGTACCTGAAGCTGGCCTCGAACTCACGATCCTCCTGCCTCTGCTTCCCAAGGGAATACACTAGCGTGCCTGGCTTTTATCATGACTGTCAGGTTCTCTCTATGTAAACCCTAGGTGTCCTGAAACCCTCTGTATACACCAGGCTGGCCTTGAACTCACTGAGATCCATCTGTGTCTGCTTTTAGAGGCTGGGTTAAAGGTATGCACCACTATGCTTGACTTTTACTAGAAGATTATGCTTTGTGATGGTAAGTGTCTTGTAGTCAGATCTGTCTCTACATTCACCTAAGTTATCTTTGGTGAATAATCACTGACCTTTCTTTTTTTTTTCTCCAAGATTTATTTATTTATCATATATGAGTACACTGTAGCTGTCTTCAGACACACCAGAAGAGGGCATCAGATCTCATTACAGATGGTCGTGAGCCACCATGTGGTTGCTGGGATTTGAACTCAGAACCTCTGGAAGTGCAGTCAGTGCTCTTAACCACTGAGCCATCTCTGCAGTCCATCACTGACCTTTCAAAAGATGAATACTCCTCGGTTGGTCATCACACATCTATTCCTCTGTTCAAGAATGAAAGCTCATTTCTCAATCTCACAGACCATTACGGAAGCACTGTTTATACTGATAGGGGAAGGGTAGCTATTCACTGCTCAAGGACTCTTCGGGAAAAGCTATTTGTCTTCATTCCTTCATAGTGGGGTCTGTGAGGTTGCCATAGCTACCCATGAGGTGGTCCATGATGTACCAGCCTCCTGTATACTCTCTAGTCAGCCGTTGTCTATAGTAAATGTAACCAAGTCTTGTGGGAGATGGTAAGGAGTGTGGAGATCCAATGTGATATGCCTAAACAATGATAAGACAATGTTTGATTTATCCCAGGCTGACATCAAACTTACCTTGCGTCTGAGGGCAATTTTAAAGTGAGATCCTCTTTTTTTTCCACCTCCTGAGTGTTGGGATTTAGGAGTATATTTCCTTCCATATGCAGTATGCTGTACTGTCGATTGAACACAGAGCTTGGTGCATGGCAGGCAAGCCGTCTACTAACCCAGCAACATCTCCAACCTACTATGTATATGTTAAGTTAGCTATCTTAAATCAAAGCATAAATTAACTGATTTGTGAATTCACCATACATTGACACAGTTCGTGTTATCACG